GGAGTGTGGAAATTAGGGGAAGGTGTGGAGTTAATAAAAGTATTAGTCAGAGGGCTGAAGAGGGGTTGTTGAGGTGGTTTGGTCATTTAGAGAGAATGGATCAAAGTAGAATGACATGGAGAGCGTATAAATCTGTAGGGGAAGGAAGGCGGGGTAGGGGTCGTCCTTGAAATGGTTGGATGGAGGAGGTAAAGCAGGTTTTGTGGGCGAGGGGCTTGGACTTCCAGCAAGCATGTGTGAGTGTGTTAGATAGGAGTGAATGGAGACGAATGGTATTTGGGACATGATGAGCTGTTGGAGTGTGAGCAGGGTAATATTTAGTGAAGGGATTCAGGGAAACCAGTTATTTTCATATAGCCGGTCTTGAATGCTGGGAATAGGAAGTACATACAGTGCCTGCACTTTAAAGGAGGGGTTTGGGATATTGGCAGTTTGGAAGGATATGTTGTGTATCTTTATACATATATGCTTCTAAACTGTTGTATTCTGAGCACCTCTGCAAAAACAATGATTATTTGTGAGTGAGGTGAAAGTGTTGAATGGTGAAAGTATTTTCTTTTGGGTGATTTTCTTTCTTTTTTTGGGTCACCCTGCCTTGGTGGGAGATGGCCGAATTGTTAAAAAAAAATATGAATATGTATATATATACAGTGGACCCCCGCATAGCGAACTTAATCCGTGCAAGAGGGCTGGTCGTTATGCGAAATGTTCGCTATGCGAATTAATTTTCCCCATAAGAAATAATGGAAATAAAATTAATCCGTGCAAGACACCCAAAAGTATGAAAAAAAAATTTTTTTACCACAAAAAAATGTTAATTTTAGTACACACAAACTGAAAAAGGCATGCACAATTACATGACACTTACTTTTATTGAAGATCTGGTGATGATTGATGGGATGGGAGGAGGGGAGAGAGAGTGTTAGTGTTTAGAAGGGGAATCCCCTTCCATTAAGACTTGAGGAGGCAAGTCCTTTTCTGGGGTTACTTCCCTTCTTTTAATGCCACTAGGACCAGCTTCAGAGTCACTGGACTTCTTTCGCACAACATATCTGTCCATAGTGGCCTGTACCTCTCGTTCCTTTATGATTTGTCTAAAGTGGTTCACAACAGTGTCATTGTAACAGTCACCAGCACGGCTTGCAATAGCTGTGTGAGGGTGTTTTTTCATCAAAAAAGGTTTGCACTTCAAGCCATTTTGCACACATTTCCTTAATCTTTGAAGTAGGCAATTCCTTCAATTTCTCTCTCCCCTCCTTTGAACCAGTTTCCCCAGGTCTGGCCTCTTGCTCTTGAAGTTGATCTATCAGCTCATCAGTGGTTAGTTCTTCATTGTCCTCCTCCACCAACTCTTCCACATCCTCCCCACTAACCTCCAACCCCAAGGACTTCCCCAATTCCACAATTGATTCCTCAACTGGTATACTACTCCTCTCAGGGTTAGCCTCAAACCCTTCAAAATCCCTTTTGTCTACACATTCTGGCCACAGTTTCTTCCAAGCAGAGTTCAAGGTTCTCTTAGTCACTCCCTCCCAAGCCTTACCTATAAGGTTTACACAATTGAGGATATTAAAGTGATCCTTCCAAAACTCTTTTAGAGTCAATCGAGTGTCTGTGGTCACTTCAAAGCACTTTTGAAACAGAGCTTTTGTGTACAGTTTCTTGAAGTTGGAAATGACCTGCTGGTCCATGGGCTGCAGGAGAGGAGTGGTATTAGGAGGCAAAAACTTCACCTTAATGAAGCTCATGTCCCATAAAGTCGCTCTGCCACGTCTGTAGGATGACCAGGGGCAATTGTCTAACACCAGGAGGCACTTAAGGTCTAATTTCTTTTCAGTTAGGTAATCTTTCACATTGGGGGCAAATGCATGGTGTAACCAGTTATAGAAAAATTCCCTAGTGACCCATGCCTTACTGTTTGCCCTCCACAGCACACACAAATTATCCTTGAGGACATTCTTTTGCCTGAACGCTCTGGGAGTTTCAGAGTGATACACTAATAAAGGCTTAACTTTGCAATCACCACTAGCATTGGCACACATCAACAAAGTAAGCCTGTCTTTCATAGGCTTATGTCCTGGGAGTGCCTTTTCCTCCTGAGTAATGTAGGTCCTGCTTGGCATTTTCTTCCAGAACAGGCCTGTTTCATCACAATTAAACACTTGTTCAGGTTCCAGTCCTTCAGTTTCTATGTACTCCTTGAATTCATGCACATATTTTTCAGCCCCTTTGTGGTCCGAACTGGCAGCCTCACCATGCCGTATCACACTATGGATGCCACTACGCTTCTTAAATCTCTCAAACCAACCTTTGCTGGCCTTAAATTCACTCACATCATCACTAGTTGCAGGCATTTTTTTAATTAAATCGTCATGCAACTTCCTAGCCTTTTCACATATGATCGCTTGAGAGACGCTATCTCCTGCTAGCTGTTTTTCATTTATCCACACCAATAAGAGTCTCTCAACATCTTCCATCACTTGCGATCTTTGTTTCGAAAACACAGTTAAACCTTTGGCAACAACAGCTTCCTTGATTGCCGTTTTCTTGCCCACAATAGAAGCGATGGTTGATTTTGGTTTCTTGTACAACCTGACCAGGTCGGTGATACGTACTCCACTTTCATACTTATCAATGATCTCTTTCTTAATTTCAATGGGTATTCTTACCCTTTGAGGTGTAGGGTTGGCACTAGAAGCTTTCTTGGGGCCCATGGTCACTTATTTTCCACAAACAGCACCGAAAACACTGTAATAATACGAAATATTCCGAGTGTATGCTTGAATGTTACCGCGGAGGCTAGCTGGTAAACAATGGGACGGGCGGCACATGTGAGGCTGGCTGAGGGCCCACATTGGACGCGTCTCGGACGAAGTTCGCTGAGCGGGTTTTTGTCCACTATGCGGGGCAAAATTTTAGCGAACAAAGCGTTCACTATGCGGATTGTTCGCTATGCAAGGCGTTCGCTATGCGGGGGTCACTATATATATATATATATATATATATATATATATATATATATATATATTATATATATATATATATATATATATATATATATATATATATATATATATATACACACACATACACATACACACACACACCTACCATCTGACTTACGACCGAGTTTGGTTCCGAGAAACCGGTCGTAAGTCGAACTTTACTACTGAATATCAACAAAACATTTTTGTAATGACTTTATTTTATTGTTTTATTTTGGTATTTCATGTTTTACTTTACTTCTTTATGTTGTTAGTACTGTATTTTATACTGTAAGGTTTAGGATAAACACTGTGTACAACACAAATAGTTGTTTATTTCCCAGAAATTTGGCATAAAAAACACGTTTGTAGATGAATGGTTCAGAGAACTGACATGTTGATAAATTAGACACATGTGCAACTCTTGGATATCTTTATTGAGGAAATGTTTCGCCACACATTGGCTTCATCAGTCCATACAAAGGAGAATCTTGAAGAACAGGAGGAGAATGAGGTAATCAGTCCCTCAACCTTGAGTCGATGTGGTCAGTCCATCAATCTTGAATAGAATACGGCATACGTGCAGAGAAGGAGCTTATAAACCATTGGCAGGAGAGGTGCAGCAGTCATAGGTGGTGTCACATTTGTTCAATGTGGAAGTAGGTCGTGCCCAAGAATTAGGCAAGCGAAATAAACACGGTCGTAAGTCAAGTGGTCATAAGTCGAGCAGGTCGTAAGTCGGATGGTAGGTGTATATATATATGTATGTATAGTATATATATCACAACAATACTGTGACTAGCCAAGGATTCGAACCCATGTCGTTTTGGCCCACCTCATGGTGAGCGAAAATCACACAATACAATACAGTTTTATTTCCTTGCAAGATTACATTAATATTATGTGATTACAGGAATGAGTTGCAGTGCAAAGAGAGCCACTATCATGCCATGGCATTATGGGCAGATTAAATTTAATGGCTTACAGACTACTTAATACTAAAGAAATTAATCATAGTTTGAGTTGCACATCTTTTTTTTTATAGTAGAAAATAAGTTTTCTCAATTTACAATCTGGGGATGTTACATTGGGACAGGGTGAAAGTATTTTGTAAGTTTTGTATAATAGTAGTAAATATTCAAATTATATAATGCTGTAACCCACAGGACCACGCAATCCTACAAAAATCAAGCACCCAGCAGAGCTAGGTGGTTTATGTACCTTGATCTGAGTACTTACGGTGGTGTGGGTGTCAGGGTCAAGGGTAGGCTTTGGGTTACACTTTAGCATAAAGTAAGAGGGTAATTAACCCTTGAGTATAATTATGATGTACCGTTACGATACTTCTGTTGTCTGCCTTATATGCTGGAAAATATGGTAAGTTTAGGCTTTTCTGTAGTGGGGAATTACATTGTCTGCACCTAGATAAGAACATAAGAAAGGAGGATCACTGCAGCAGGCCTGTTAGCCCATACTGGGTGATCATTTTGACAGCTTATTTCTGTTGGGTAACAACGAGTTTTAGGTAATTTGCTGTAGTAGATCCCCAAGCATAAATACCAAAAATGTGGTCAGGTTAGACTAGAGAATAGCACAGAGAATGTTTGTGGAATGTAGTGTATTTGACACAGAATGTCCACAGTTCTGGAAATTTTATTAGATACATATATGTTGGATGTGAGTAATGAATTTCAGGTTGCTATCATGTTGTATCCCTAAGACTTATTCCTCCATCTTGTCATTCTATGTGTGACTTATTTATTTTGATGTTGAGTACATAATATGCTGTTATACCATACATCATTGATATAACACACATTTCCCAATGGTTTTGTTTCATAATAATTCTAATAATGAACAAATAAACCTACAATATCTACAAAGCATTTGTTTCATAAATGATTTGTAGATATGTTATTACCATATATTATTCACAAAAAGGTCTTATTGATTTTGCACCATTATGAATATACTGTGGTATACTGTAGAATATATCATCTTGTGTAATTTGGACAGGTTGCCAGCAATTCTGTCCTGGCCTCATTGTACTCGTCTGAGGGCTCAGTGATGGAACGACACCACCTTGCTCAGGCTATGTGTATTCTCAACACCGATGACTGTAACTTCCTGGAGAATCTTAATCGAGAAGAATATACACTGTTCCTTGATTTAATGCGCGATATTATTCTGGGTAAGGAAAAATTAACTGTGGAGAGAATTTAATCATAGTGTACATTTGTAAAAGACAGCATACTTCAGTTAAATCTTTGCTTGGCTGAGTATGGTGTAGAGAGGTCATAGCCTTTCCATAATAATACTTACCATGCAAAACAACCACTGTGAAAAAAAAAAAACTTAATTTCCAAGCAGTTTCATTCAGTTTTTTCACAGTGGTTGTTTTGCATATTGTGATATCACTTGTTCATTGACATCTTATTGCAGTACTTACCATGTTCATGTTATCCTTCGTAAGCCAAGCTTTGTTCTATATTATATTTACAAAAAACTTGATGGAATTTAGAGAGGGTCATTTAAATTGTGGTGTGAGTGCCTTTCTGGCAGGACAGCCATGAGACATACCTTTGCTACCACAGCTGGGCCTGTTAAAGGCAAATCATCTCAGTTATAAACCAAAAATCTTACTTCTGTTCACTAGTCAAGCAGGGTGGACCACACAACAGGTGGTACAAGTAAGGATAGGCTACACATCAGAAGGGATTTAGTAAAACAAGAATTTAAAAAATTGCATGTATCTTTACTGAATAAAGACATCTCGTACAATTATATGCACTGGCTTCACGAGAAATAGTCATACGGTCAGGGCCGGATTAAGAAGTCTCCGGGCCCTAGGCTATTCAGATTGGCGGGGCCCCTTTGAGTTACGGGTAAGCGAAGCGACCCCTTCCAGCTTGGGGGGGGGTCGGTGTGAGCCTGTTTAAGGTCTAATTAAATATATTCTGGCTATTTAGATTAAATTTAATAGGGAAAGTACATCAAGACAACCAAAACCATTTACCAACAGCCATTATAACTATCTTGTTAAATCATGCATTTTAGAGAGAATAAATTCAAGACAGCATAGTATTACTAGATTAGGCTATTAAAGTAGTGACATCATGTACCTATTATATTCAGCATAACCACTACAGCACTATTATTCCCTTTATAAATCACTGACCATTATTGTTATCATTTTTACCAAAAATGCGTCTTTACTGATCAAGTAACCCTATCAGGTACCTCCCTTAACATTTAGAGGCGAAAACAAACATTTATCCATACACATCAATGTTTATCAACAACACTTCAGTTAATTTGTCACAGTACAAGTCTAGATAACGTGTAATTACTACAGAAAATTGGAGAGGAATCTCCCATACTCACCCATTAGCGGGAAAACACAGCTGTTCCAGTGTAAACAAAGGCATTTTGAGTGTTGCCATCTATGGTTAGGTTTATTTATTTTTATTTTATTTTATTTCATTATTTTTGTTTTGATTAATTTTTAAAAATCAATTTTACTCTCCAAACACTTGAACTTTTTAGGTAGGGACCCCTTTGCACTTGCACCATGTGCGCAGTCTTGGATGAGCCCCTGAACCCCTTGGACCGCGGGGCCCCCAAATGCGCGGGGCCCTAGGCAAATGCCTAGTTTGCCTATGCGGTAATCCGGCCCTGCATACGGTAGAACATAATTAAAATATTACCTGGTAAATCAATGTCCCATATGCCAAATGTTAGATAACCAACTCACAAATGATGATTATTCTAAGTTCAACACTAGATTAATTATATAAAACATACACAACTCTGAACATCTACATAGGTATTAAGGTTTGCAGCTCCTTTATTTTATGACCCCAAGTCAACACTGCATGTCTGTATTTAGCTAAAATCTAAGTAAAAAACCACAAAATACAGTGTATAGGCACCAACAAGGCAATCAAGAAAAAATCCATTCATTCCACTCACTACTTAGTTTATATACACAGAAAGGTGTACGTCACTGTGTATATATGCTGAGAGTTTAATCTTTATTTTAGGGATTAAAGTATTCTTGACTGGTGTTTAACAAGTCTTTTTTTTTTTTTTTTTTTTTTTTTTTTAACAAGTCGGCCATCTCCCACCAAGGCAGGGTGACCCAAAAAGAAAGAAAATCCCCAAAAAGAAAATACTTTCATCATCATTCAACACTTTCACCTCACTCACACATAATCACTGTTTTTGCAGAGGTGCTCAGAACACAACAGTTTAGAAGCATATACGTATAAAGATACACAACACATCCCTCCAAACTGCTAATATCCCAAAACCCCTCCTTTAGAGTGCAGGCATTGTACTTCCCATTTCCAGGACTGAAGCCCTGCTATATAAAAATAACCAGTTTCCCTGAATCCCTTCACTAAATATTACCCTGCTCACACTCCAACCGATCATCAGGTCCCAAATACCATGGAAATATAAACACATATGCAGTATAATGTGATCCTTTATTGACTAAGTTTCGCCCACACAGTGGGCTTTTTCAAGTCACAAACAGAACTACCTGGGGTGGAAGGAACGCGAGTATTTATAGTCAGGTTCAGAATGCTGAGGTCAGGTGGAGAATGCATGCTGCATCTGATGCTGTACCGAGTGGGGTTATAGAGTCTAAAATCTTGGGTAGCTTGGAAAGGAGATTGGACAAGTTTGTGAGCAGACCTTCTACAGTGTTCTCATGTGGGATAGCGATGAAGAAGCTTCTTGGCAAGTGGTTCAGCTATGTTATAGAAGCCACTATTCTGGTTGAAGTTGTCGGATATAGAAATAAGTGATGATTCCAGGATTCTTCGGTATTGAGTGTTGTCTTCTGTGGCGATAAGTCTTGAGTTTCTGTAGTTTATCAAGTGGTTGTGTGAATTACGGTGTTGTACGCAGGCATTCCTTGTGTCGTCAGACCTGCTTGCGTATTGGTGTTCTGAAATACGTGTTTGGAGGTCCCTTGATGTTTCGCCCACGTATAACTTGTTGCAGTCATTACAAGGGATTATGTATACCCCTGCAGAGGGTGGAAGCTTGTCCTGTCTATTACTGGTAATGTCCTTGATGGTCGTGGTTGTGGAGGTAGATACTTGAAATGAGGTATTGGAAAAGATGTTGGAAACGTGTTTGGCAATGGAGTTGGTGGGAAGGACTATGTATCTCTTCTCGGCAGTGTCTTCTCTGGGTGTGTTGAAGATGTTTAATGCCCGTCGTCTGCAGTCTCTGATGAAGTGACGAGGATAGTGGAGTTTAGAAAATACTTGTTCAATCATCGTGCATTCTTCTTCAAGGAACTCATTGCTGCAGTGATAGACAGGAAAAGCTTCCACCCTCTGCAGGGGTATACATAATCCCTTGTAATGACTGCAACAAGTTATACGTGGGCGAAACATCAAGGGACCTCCAAACACGTATTTCAGAACACCAATACGCAAGCAGGTCTGACGACACAAGGAATGCCTGCGTACAACACCGTAATTCACACAACCACTTGATAAACTACAGAAACTCAAGACTTATCGCCACAGAAGACAACACTCAATACCGAAGAATCCTGGAATCATCACTTATTTCTATATCCGACAACTTCAACCAGAATAGTGGCTTCTATAACATAGCTGAACCACTTGCCAAGAAGCTTCTTCATCGCTATCCCACATGAGAACACTGTAGAAGGTCTGCTCACAAACTTGTCCAATCTCCTTTCCAAGCTACCCAAGATTTTAGACTCTATAACCCCACTCGGTACAGCATCAGATGCAGCATTCTCCACCTGACCTCAGCATTCTGAACCTGACTATAAATACTCGCGTTCCTTCCACCCCAGGTAGTTCTGTTTGTGATTTGAAAAAGCCCACTGTGTGGGCGAAACGTAGTCAATAAAGGATCACATTATACTGCATATGTGTTTATATTTCCATGGTATTTGGGACCTGACGATCGGTTGGAGTGTGAGCAGGGTAATATTTAGTGAAGGGATTCAGGGAAACCGGTTATTTTTATATAGCAGGACTTCAGTCCTGGAAATGGGAAGTACAATGCCCACACTCTAAAGGAGGGGTTTTGGGATATTAGCAGTTTGGAGGGATATGTTGTGTATCTTTATACGTATATGCTTCTAAACTGTTGTGTTCTGAGCACCTCTGCAAAAACAGTGATTATGTGTGAGTGAGGTGAAAGTGTTGAATGATGATGAAAGTATTTTCTTTTTGGGGATTTTCTTTCTTTTTGGGTCACCCTGCCTTGGTGGGAGATGGCCGACTTGTTAAAAAAAAAAAAAAAAAAAAAAAAAAGACTTGTTAAACACCAGTCAAGAATACTTTAATCCCTAAAATAAAGATTAAACTCTCAGCATATATACACAGTGACGTACACCTTTCTGTGTATATAAACTAAGTAGTGAGTGGAATGAATGGATTTTTTCTTGATTGCCTTGTTGGTGCCTATACACTGTATTTTGTGGTTTTTGACTTAGATTTTAGCTAAATACAGACATGCAGTGTTGACTTGGGGTCATAAAATAAAGGAGCTGCAAACCTTAATACCTATGTAGATGTTCAGAGTTGTGTATGTTTTATATAATTAATCTAGTGTTGAACTTAGAATAATCATCATTTGTGAGTTGGTTATCTAACATTTGGCATATGGGACATTGATTTACCAGGTAATATTTTAATTATGTTCTACCGTATGCAGGGCCGGATTACCGCATAGGCAAACTAGGCATTTGCCTAGGGCCCACTGTGTGGGCGAAACGTAGTCAATAAAGGATCACATTATACTGCATATGTGTTTATATTTCCATTGTGTCTGTATTTTATACCATTTATTTCCATCCCAAATACCATTCGTCTCCATTCACTCCTATCGAACACGCTCATGCACGCCTGCTGGAAGTCCAAGCCCCTCGCTCACAAAACCTCCCTTACCCCTTCCTTCCAACCTTTTCAAGGACGACCCCTACCCTGCCTTCCTTCTCCTACAGATTTAAATGCTCTCCATGTCATTCTACTTTGATCCATTCTCTCTAAATGACCAAACCACCTCAACAGCCCCTCTTCAGCCCTCTGACTAATACTTTTGTTAACTCCACACCTCCTAATTTCCACACTCCGAATTTTCTGCATAATATTTACACCGCACATTGCTCTTAGACAGGACATCTCCACTGCCTCCAGCCGCCTCCTCGCTGCTGCATTAACAACCCAAGCTTCACACCCATGTAAGAGTGTTGGTACTACTATATTTTCATACATTCCCTTCTTTGCCTCCGTTTTTTGACTCCACATATACCTCAACGCACCACTCGCCTTTTTTCCCTCATCAATTCTATAATTAACCTCATCCTTCATAAATCTATCCACCGACATGTCAACTACCAAGTATCTGAAAACATTCACTTCTTCTATACTCCTCCTCTCCAATTTGATATCCAATTTTTCTTTATCTAAATTATTTGATACCCTCATCACCTTACTCTTTTCTATGTTCACTTTCAACTTTCTAACTTTACACACACTCCCAAACTCATCCACTATCCTTTGCAATTTTTCTTTAGAATTTCTCATAAGCAGCATTCTCCACCTCAGCATTCTGAACCTGACTATAAATACTCGCGTTCCTTCCACCCCAGGTAGTTCTGTTTGTGACTTGAAAAAGCCCACTGTGTGGGTGAAACGTAGTCAATAAAGGATCACATTATACTGCATATGTGTTTATATTTCCACAGTATCATCAGCAAAAAGTAACTGTGTCAATTCCCATTTTGCATTTGATTCCCCATAATTTAATCCCACCCCTCTCCTGAACACCCTAGCATTTACTTCTTTTACAACCCCATCTATAAATATATTAAACAACCATGGTGACATTACACATCCCTGTCTAAGACCTACTTTTACCGGGAAGTAATCTCCCTCTCTTCTACACACCCTAACCTGAGCCTCACTATCCTCATGAAAACACTTTACAGCATTTAGTAACTTACCACCTATTTCATACACTTGCAACATCTGCCACATTGCTCCCCTATCCACTATCCTATCCCTATCATATGCCTTTTCTAAATCCATAAATGCAATAAAAACTTCCCTACCTTTTTCTAAATACTGTTCACATATATGCTTCAATGTAAACACTTGATCTACACATCGCCTACCCACTCTGAAACCTCCTTGCTCATCTGCAATCCTACATTCTGTCTTGCCTCTAATTCTTTCAATAATAACCCTACCGTACACTTTTCCTGGTATACTCAGCAAACTTATTCCTCTATAATTTTTACAATCTCTTTTGTCCCCCTTCCCTTTATATAAAGGGACTATCCATGCTCTCTGCCAATCCCTAGGTACCTTCCCCTCTTTCATATATTTATTAAACAAAAGTACCAACCACTCCAACACTATATCCCCCCCCTGCTTTTAACATTTCTGTCATGATCCCATCAGTTCCAGCTGCTTTACCCCCTTTCATTCTACGTAATGCCTCACGTACCTCCCCCACACTTACATTCTGCTCTTCTTCACTCCTAAAAGATGGTATACCTCCCTGGCCAGTGCATGAAATTACTGCCTCCCTTTCTTCCTCAACATTTAAAAGTTCCTCAAAATATTCTCGCCATCTACTTAATACCTCCCTCTCCCCATCTACTAACTCCCCTACTCTGTTTTTAACTGACAAATCCATACATTCCCTAGGCTTTCTTAACTTGTTTAACTCCAAAAATTTTTCTTATTTTCATTAAAATTTCTTGACAGTGCCTCTCCCACTCTATCATTTGCTCTCCTTTTGCACTCTCTCACCACTCTCTTCACCTTTCTTTTACTCTCCATATACTCTGCTCTTCTTATAACAATTCTGTTTTGTAAAAACCTCTCATAAGCTAACTTTTTCTCTTTTTTTGGCCTTTACTTCATCATTCCACCAATCACTCCTCTTTCCTCCTGCCCTTACCCTCCTATAACCACAAACTTCTGCCCCACATTCTAATACTGCATTTTTAAAATTATTCCAACCCTCTTCAACCCCCCCACTACTCATCTTTGCACTAGCCCACCTTTCTGCCAATAGTCGATTATATGTCACCCGAACTTCCTCCTCCCTTAGTTTATACACTTTCACTTCCCTTCTACTTGTTGTTGCCACCTTCCTCTTGTCCCATCTACCTCTTACTCTAACTGTAGCTACAACTAAATAATGATCCGATATATCAGTTGCCCCTCTATAAACATGTACATCCTGGAGGCTATCCATTAACCTTTTATCCACCAATACATAATCTAGCAAACTACTTTCATTACATGCTACATCATACCTTGTATATTTATTTATCCTCTTTTTCATAAAATATGTATTACTTATTACCAAATCTCTTTCTACACATAGCTCAATTAAAGGCTCCCCATTTACATTTACCCCTGGCACCCCAAATTTACCTACTACTCCCTCCACAACATTTTTACCCACTTTAGCATTGAAATCCCCAACCACAAGTACTCTCACATTTGGTTCGAAACTTCCCATGCATTCACTCAACATTTCCCAAAATCTCTCTCTCTCCTCTACACTTCTCTCTTCTCCAGGTGCATATACACTTACTATAACCCACTTTTCACATCCAACCTTTATTTTACTCCACATAATCCTTGAATTAATACATTTATAGTCCCTCTTTTCCTGCCATAACTTATCCTTCAACATTATTGCTACTCCTTCTTTAAGCTCTAACTCTATTTGAAACCCCTGACCTAATCCCATTTATTCCTCTCCACTGAAACTCTCCCACCCCCTTCAGCTTTGTTTCACTTAAAGCCAGGACATCCAGCTTCTTTTCATTCATAATATCCACAATCATCTCTTTCCTATCATTTGCACAACATCCACACACATTCAGACTTCCCACTCTGACAATTTTCTTATTATTATTCTTTTTAGTAATCTTTACTAGCCCATTGTTCCCGGCATTTTAGTTGACTTTTCCAACACGCATGGCTTACGGAGGAAAGATTCTTATTCCACTTCCCCATGGATATAAAAGGAAAAGTAATAAGACCAAGAACTATTAAGATAAAATCAAAGAAAACTCAGATGAGTGTGTATAAATAAATGTGTACATGCATGTGTAGTGTGACCAAAGTGTAAGTAGAAGTAGCAAGACATACCTGTAATCTTGCATATTTATGAGACAGACAAGAGACACCAGCAATCCTACCATCATATAAAACAATTACAGGCTTTCGTTTTACACTCACTTGGCAGGACGGTAGTACCTCCCTGGGTGGTTGCTGTCTACCAACCTACTACAAGTCATATGTATTATTAATGACCCTTGTGTAGTTGATAGTCTTTAAATCCAATTGACCAATCACTAACTACTTAGCATGAGGCTAGGTCCTCACCAGACTGTACAGAAATGTCTACTACACCAAACAAAAGTAAAAGGCTAATAGCAGCCAAAGTCAGTCAGTCCACACAGGTCTGCTGTATCAAAAGACTAAAATAAAGATTAAACTCTCAGCATATATACACAGTGACGTACACTTTTCTGTGTATATAAACTAAGTGAGTGGAATGAATGGATTTTTTCTTGATTGCCTTGTTGGTGCCTATACACTGTATTTTGTGGTTTTTGACTAGAGTGGTTATTTCTCAAAAGGGAATTGAATCACAGATCCAGTTTCCTAGATCAAGAGCCCCTCACCAGCTTTAAGTAACCTCCTTTGAGGGGCCTAGTTAATGATCATATATTACAGACTTATCATTTGCCCCGCCAGCAACCGACTTGGCACACCACCTCCGCATTGTGTCCGAGCTGCGGGAAATTGCAGAAAATGGTTATGACCCTAACGATCAAAGACATCACGAACTGCTCATATGCCTGCTTATGACGGCCGCAGATTTATCTGACCAAACCAAGGTAAGTGAAATGTGAAAATTTAAAAGTACAGTAGGACCCACATATCCACGCGGGATGTGTTCCAAGACCTACTGCAGATAGTAGCGAACCTTATACATGTATTTAAGTAATTATTCATTTGCATACATATCTGTGATAGAGGTTAATTTATAAATTATATACACTGATGGGAAGCACTTCATGACTTCTTTTAGGCTTTGAAGAACTGACACCATCACTAACTTTGCAATATTAAGCAAAATTAAGGATTATTTTCGGGCCAGGGTAAACCATGGATAGTTGAAACCATGGAAACCGGATCCACGGATACAGTGGTCCTACTGTATTGTAATCTTAATGTACAATACAGTAGTGTGTGTGTGCACGCACACAGAAATTAGAGATATTTGATAGAGTGAATCATTAACCCCTTGACTGTTGCAACCCCCAATCCTGAGGTGTCTCCTGGTGTCGCAAAAATTAAAAAAAAAAAAAAAAATCTCATGAAATGATAGAGAATCTTTTCCCGATTGTAATGACACCAAAAAAGCGAAATTTGATGAAAAACTGACGGAATTATGCTCTCGCGAAGTTAGCGACCTCGGCGATATTTACAAATCGGCGATTTCGCCCACTTTGAGCCCTTTTTTTGGCTAATTCTGTTGTTCCAGTCGACCAAACTCTTAGCTATTTCTTTAGAACTCCATTTTTTCTATCGATTGAGTACAAGAAACTGCCCATTTACCGATTTCAACCACCCAATAATGTGGTCAGAAATTTGCAATTTGACCAATTTCACGAAAATTAAAAAATATGACAATTTCAAAATAAGGTCCAGAATGAGCAATGCAGACATTTCTGGCTCTAAAATAACATTTTCTTTGTTCATCAGTCATGTCTCTAGGCCCCTCTGATATTACTCTTGCTTTCTATTTTGAATTTTTATTCAAACAAAAAATAGAAGGCTTACTATTATGCAGACTACTGCAATACTGTAATAATTGTATAAATAACATCAACCCTGCATATTAGAATGGCTAGTTGGACATTTATTAGACAATGACACCATTTGCTTACTTTTCAAACATTTCCCCTACTTTGAGCTCCATTTCCAGGTTCTTTTTATAGTAAAATCAATCACCTCTATTTCTATAATATGTTTTCCATTCTATCAAATGAGACCAAGAAAACGAGAATACAACCATAAATACTATGCGAAAATAGACCACAAAGTCGGCATTTTAATTAAAAAAACGGTCGGAGTTTTTTTTTCTCATTATGCACTGCGTGCTCCAGGATTTTTTTTATATGGTGCACACAGACCCATTCTCTCACATGTGGGCCTACCAGCTTTCTCCTGCTTGATTTGAAGCCGCTAGAATTTATGAGTATATATACGTCAAACACGGTACCTCGTAAGATGTATATATACGGCCACGACAGTCAAAGGGTTAAAGATAGTTAAGGAAGAACTGCAAAATAGAGCTAGAAAGTAATATAAATGTATGCACAATTAATCATGGGAAGGAATCACTATAAAAAATTGACTACAAACATGAAAACTACAACAGCAACAAAAATTACAAAAAACACCAGGGAGCTGAGAATGATTATATTATTATTATTACCTGAGAGCTCTTACAAGGTTTAGGACTTAGAATGATTATACAGTGGTACCTTGACTTACAAGTTTACTTCGTTCCGTGATCGACCTCGTAACTCAATTTGCTCGTATGTCAAATCAATTTTCCTCATTGAAATTAATTGAAATGCCATTAATCCATTCTAGCCCCCCCAAAAAACCACTCCAATATTTTTATTACGGGTTTTTAAATAAGAAAAATGTATTTATAAATAATTGATTTTTGCCTTTTTTGCCAGGTCCCAGCAGTGTTTCAGAAATGCTGGAGTATGTATGAAACTCCTTGAAGCACAGTGTAAGATGAGTGCCACTCCACTGCTGACAGTGCAGCAGTGGGGTGACATTAATCAGTCAATCAATCAAGTTTATTCTCTATAAGGATTACAATGCAGGGTTTACAGATTTTGGATATTGTGTGGTTTACATGTTATAAAATACAGTGGAACCTCAAATATTGAACTTTCTTCGGTCCAGAAGGCTGTTCGAGTGCCTTTACCGAATGAATTTATTCCCATCAGGAATAACGTAAATTAGATTAGTCCATTTCAGACCCTCAAAAATACACTTATAAAAGCACTTACAAAAATACACTTACATAATTGGTCGTGTTGGGAGCAGCTCGATTTTTGAGGTTCCACTGTACTAATTAGAGGGGGCCACTAGGACACCTAGCATGGCTAGGCATTTCGGGCAGACTTAGATTAATTCTTAACCCTAAATTATTACAAATTATGGATTAAGTTGGTATTATGGCTAAGTGACTAAATTATAGTTTGTGAGTTTAGCAATGTGAATGCTTTTATTTTGGCACAATACATAGTTTCTATATTGGAGTATCACAGGCAAACTTATGACTAGTTAGGATTCATTATTTTAAGATAAAGATTCATATTTCTTTCTTTATAGTCAAATGGGTGGGTGAGTGAGTGTGTGAACCACCAGGTGGTTTTCATGTAGTTAGTTGACGGGGTGTATCAGGGAGATAAGATGTTTTCTAACGGTAGTTTTGAAGGTGATGAATGTGTTTGCAGTTGTAGAGCTTTCAGGTAAGGTGTTCCAGATTTTAGGGCCTTTGACATACATTGAATTTTTGTAAAGGTTTAGTCGGACACGGGGAATGTCATAAAGATGTTTGTGTCTGGTGTTATGCCTGTGGGTCCTGTCACAACTATCAAGAAAGCATTTTAGGTCAAGGTTAATATTGGAATTTAAGGTCCTGTAGATGTAGATTGCACAGTAGTAAGTGTGGATGTTCTGAACAGGGAGTAAGTTTAGATCTATGAAGAGGGGGGGGGGGTGTTGCCAGGGATGGGATTTAGTGATTATTTTTACTGCAGCTTTTTGTTGGGTTATTATTGGCTTTAGGTGTGTTGCTGCAGTTGATCCCCAAGCACAAATAGCATAGGTGAGGTATGGATAAATGAGTGAATGGTATAGTGTGAGAAGGGCATTTTGCAGCATGTAGTATCGTATCTTGGAGAGGATCCCAACCGTTTTGGATACTTTCTTTTGTTATGTGTTGGATATGGGCGCAGAAATTCAGATTGTTGTCAAGGAATTTGCCCTCATTATGTCTGGCAATTAGAGTGTTGTCAATCTTAATGTTAAGTTGTGCAACACCTGCTCTGCTACCAAACATAATATACGTAGTAGGTTTTGTCAGTGTTAAGTGTAAGTTTATTGGCTGTCATCCAAGTCGATATTTTGAGCAGTTCCTCGTTAACAATTCAAATTCAAAGTTTATTCTCTATAAAGATTACAATGTTGAATTTACAGAATTTGGTTGTTGTGTGGTTTACATGTAGTTAAATAATGATTACAGAGTGTACCACTAGAACGCCTAGCATGGCTAGGCATTTCGGGCAGACTTAGTTTAATTCTTTATTTTAAAATATTACAAATTATGAGGTAAGTTGGTATTATGGCTAAGTGACTAAATACTAGTTTGTGAGTTTAGCAATGTGAATGCTTTTGTTTTGGCACAGTACATAGTTTCAGTATTGGAGTATCATAGGATTCATTATTTTAAGATTGAGATTAATATTTCTGTTTATGGTCAAATGGGTGAGTGAGTGTAAGTGTGAACCACCAGGTGGTATTCGTGTAGTTAGTTGATGGGGTTTATCAGGGAGATAAGATGTTTTCTAATGGTAGTTTTGAAGGTGATGAATGTGTCTGCAGTTCTAGAGTTCTCAGGTACGGTATTCCAGATTTTAGGGCCTTTGACATACATTGAATTTTTGTAAAGGTTTAGTCGGACATGGGGAATGTCGTAGAGATGTTTGTGTCTGGTGTTGTGCCTGTGGGTTCTGTCACAACTATCAAGAAAGCGTTTTAGGTCAAGGTTGATATTGGAGTTTAAGGTCCTGTAGATGTAGATTGCACAGTAGTAAGTGTGGATGTACTGAACAGGGAGTAAGTTTAGATCTATGAAGAGTGGGGGGGGGGTGTTGCCAGGGATGGGATTTAGTGATTATTCTTACTGCAGCTTTTTGTTGGGTTATTATTGGCTTTAGGTGTGTTGCTGCAGTTGATCCCCAAGCACAAATAGCATAGGTGAGGTATGGATAAATAAGTGAGTGGTATAGTGTGAGAAGGGCATTTTGTGGCACGTAGTATCGTATCTTGGAGAGGATCCCAACTGTTTTGGATACTTTTTTGGTTATGTGTTGGATATGGGTGCTGAAATTCAGGTTGTTGTCAAGGTATAGGCCTAGGAATTTGCCCTCATTATGTCTGGTAATTAGGGTGTTGTCGATCTTAATGTTAATTTGTGCATCTCCTGCTCTGCTACCAAACATAATATACATAGTAGGTTTTGTCAGTGTTAAGCGTAAGTTTATTGGCTGTCATCCAAGTCGATATTTTGATCAGCTCCTCATTAACAATGGTGTTGAGGGTGGCAAGATTAGGGTGAGAGATGACATAAGTCGTGTCGTCAGCAAAGAGAATGGGTTTCAGGTGTTGGGATACGTTTGGAAGATCATTGATGTACAGGTCTCCCTCAACATTCACGTTTTCAGCTTTCGCGGGCTTCACACATTCGCGAATTCCCAACCGCCAAATTCCCAGCCACCAAATTCCCAGCCGCCAAATCATATTCAAGTTTCTCGCCACCTGCGAGTCCCTACTACCCTCCCTCCGACCCCCGCAACTGGCAGCCAGCCCTCCCACCACTCAGTGTGGTGAGTGTTTTGTTTATTCATTATTTGCTATTAATCTACAGTATAAATAATGTAAACACATTCATGACTGCATATTGGAATGGCTATTTGGACAGGTATTGGACGGTGACATCATGTGTTTACTCTTGAACACAGCAAAGAATCAAACATTTCTGCTACTGCTAATAATAATAATAATAATAATAATAATAATAATAATAATAATAATATGATATAATTGAAGAAGGAAATTGTACAAAAATACGAGGGAGTGGTTGACACATCGTCAGTGTGGCTTTGTTTATGCTGGAGTGAACATTAGTCTCCCTGCTCTTCCAAACATTTCACAATAATTCATTGTTTGGTGCTTGTAGATTGAGTGTGACTGGAGTGGTAGAGGTGATAGAGGCAGTGATAGAGGCAGTGGTAGAGGCAGTGATAGAGGCAGTGATAGAGGCAGTGATAGAGGCAGTGGTAGAGGCAGTGGTAGAGGCAGTGATAGAGGCAGTGGTAGAGGCAGTGGTAGAGGCAGCGATAGAGGCAGTGATATTTACTAACATATATGTTATAAATAATAATAGTACATTATGAATAACATTTATTATTATTATTATAAATGTTATTAATATTAACATGTACTATTATTATTTATAACATACGTATATGTTAGTAAATACCACTGCCTCACCCACTGCCTCTATCACTGCCTCTATCACTGCCTCTACCACTGCCTCAACCGCTGAATTATTGTGAAATGTTTGGAAGAGCAGGGAGACTAATGTTCACTCCAGCATAAACAAAGTCACACTGACGATGTGTCAACCACTCCCTCGTATTTTTGTACAATTTCCTTCTTCAATTATATCATATTATTATTATTATTATTATTATTATTATTATTATTATTATTATTATTATTATTATTATTATTATTATTATTATTATTATTATTATTGTTATTGTTATTATTAGCAGTAGCAGAAATGTTTGATTCTTTGCTGTGTTCAAGAGTAAACACATGATGTCACCGTCCAATACCTGTTCAAATAGCCATTCCAATATGCAGTCATGAATGTGTTTACATTATTTATACTGTAGTTTAATAGCAAATAATGAACAAACAAAACACTCACCACACTGAGTGGTGGGAGGGCTGGCTGCCAGTTGTGGGGGTCGGAGGGAGGGTAGTAGGGACTCGCATTGGTTGTGGAAGTGGTGGAGGCAGTGGTGGAGTCTGTGGTATTTAATAACATACATGTTATTAAAGCATAACATGTATATACGTATTTAGTACAACTTACAGAGTTTTCATGTATTTTATGATTGTTCATGGTTCAACAAGTTAAGCAGTATTGTATTATATTTCCCTACAATATATTGGGGCACCAAACATTCACGGTTTTTCAACATTCGCGAGGCTCTTGATCCCCTAACTCCCGCGAATGTTGAGGGACACCTGTATATGAGGAAGAGCAGGGGACCAAGGACACTTCCCTGCGGAACTCCAGTATCAAGTGGCCATGTTGTTGATGCTGTGTCTTTAATGGTAACATACTGATACCTATTAGTAAGGTAAGATTTGAAATAAGCAAGCGCGTGGCCTCTTATACTGTAATGGTCAAATTTGTGGAGTAGGATGTTGTGGTCTACTGTGTCAAAAGCTTTTCTTAGGTCAATAAAAATTCCTAGTGGATATTCCTTATTTTCCAATGCTGTGTAAAGCAGATCTAGCATTTTTATGATTGCATCATTAGTGCTTTTATTTTTCATAAATCCAAATTGGCAGGGGTTGAGTATGTTTTGTGCTGTTATAAATGAATATAGTCTCCTGTGCACGAGTTTCTCAAAGATTTTGGATAGCAATGGTAAGTTTGATATTGGCCTATAGTTGTTTAAGTCTGTGGTGTTGAGGGTGGTGGCAAGATTCAAATTCAAATTCAAAGTTTATTCTCTATAAGGATTACAATGCTGAGCATACAGAATTTGGTTATTGTGTGGTTTACATGTAGTAAAATAATAATTACAGAGTGTACCACTAGAACACCTAGCATGGCTAGGCATTTCGGGCAGACTTAGATTAAATCTTAAGTTTAAAATATTACAAAATTATGAGGTAAGTTGGTATTATGGCTGTGTGACTAAATACTAGTTTGTGAGTTTAGCAATGTGAATGCTTTTGTTTTGGCACTATACATAGTTTCAGTATTGGAGTATCACAGGCCAACTTATGACTAGTTAAGATTCATTATTTTGAGATTGGGATTGATATTTCTGTTTATGGTCAAATGGGTGAGTGAGTGTAAGTGTTAACCACCAGGTGATTAGGGTGAGAGATGACATAAATCGTGTCGTCAGCAAAGAGAATGGGTTTCAGGTGTTGGGATACGTTTGGAAGATCATTGATGTAAATGAGGAAGAGCAGGGGACTAAGGACACTTCTCTGTGGAACTCCAGTATCAAGTGATCGTGTTGATGATGCTATGTCTTTAATGGTGACATACTGATACCTATTAGTAAGGTAGGATTTGAAATATGCAAGTGCATGGCCTCTTATACCATAATGGTCAAATTTGTGGAGTAGGATGCAGTGGTCTACTGTGTCAAAAGCTTTTCTTAGGTCAATAAAAATTCCTAGCGGATATTCCTTTTTTTCCAGTGCTGTGTAAAGCAGTTCTAGCATTTTTACAATTGCATCATTGGTGCTTTTATTTTTCCTGAATCCAAATTGGCAGGGGTTGAGTATGTTTTGTGCCATTATAAATGAATATAGTCTCCTGTGCACGAGTTTCTAGAAGATTTTGGATAGCAATGGTAAGTTTGATATTGGCCTATAGTTGTTTACATCTGTAGGGTCACCACCTTTATGTATTGGTGTAACCCTTGCTGTCTTAAGTAGTGTCAGGAAAGTGCTAGTTTCTAGTGACTTGTTAAGAAAGTCATGTAATAGCATGCGAAAGGACATGGGCCGCTCGCTTGAACAATAATGGTGGGACATGAGACAGATTCCCCGAGTTATTTTTCAGTGACTTTATAATCTCATTGACTTCCGTGAGCTCAGTTGGTACAAGATAGAAGGAATTTGGGAAATTCCCATCTAGGTAGTCCCCGGCATGGGCATTGGTACGTGGGATTTTACTGGCGAGATTAGATCCTATGGTTGAGAATTTATTACAATCAAAAAAAGTGCTAAACCACAAGGGCTATACAGCTATGGTTGAGAAGAAGTCGTTTACCATGTTAGTTGTATCAGTGGGATGCAGTGGTGTTTCATTAGGTTTAGTTAGGACAATATTCTTGGTTTTTTAAGTTTGTAGGTCCCTAGAATCTGGGAAAATGTTTTCCAGGTCTTTTTTATATCTCCTCTTGTGTCAGTGAATCTGCTGGAGTAGTACAGTTGTTTGGCTTTCTTTATTACTTTGGTGAGAACTGATGAATAGTGTTTAAGAATATCTTTGTGTATTAAGCAATGTCTATATTGCTTTTCATATTGGTGTTTCTTATCAGTGGATTTCAGAATGCTGCTGGTTAGCCATGGGCAACTGAGCTGTTTATTCGTGATCTTTTTCGTTTTTATAGGACAGTGTTGTATAGTCTGTAATTTGTCAAGAAAATGTCTGTCCAATCGTCAGTACCATTGTGCACTGCCTTGGCTTTATTTTTCACTGTTACACATAAACATGTCTGTCTATATCTGTCTCTCTAGCTCTATGTTTATCTCTGTCTCTGCTTATGTCTTTGTGTTTCTGTCTCTTTATTTGTCTCTGTCTCAAAGAGAGCCGCTCATGAACCAACAGGTATTACACACAATGCAGAGTCGTCACGTCGGATTCCTGAGCAAGTGAAAATGTGTATTATTGTACTTGCCAGTTATGCTTATTATGCCTTACATCTACAAGCATAGTACATAGCACTTTGTCTGGATTTTTTGGGTTATCCTAGGTAATTTACACTATGTATAACTGTATATTTGTGTGTACCTGTGAAATAGAGACAGAGATAGATACAGACAGGAGGAGATAGACAGTCAAAGCAAATCATGTATTGCACATGTTCCAGAATTGTTTTTCTTTACTTAGGGCATACGTTATAGAACATTCTGGCAAGATGACATTACCAGTGGTATCAAAATTGAAAGGAAGTTGCACATTGGTTATTATCAAGGTTTTTGATATTTCCTCAATATCTCCTGGGAGTGGCAGCATATCTGAAGCTAACTCGTAAATTAGGCCACTCGTAAGTCAAAGTACCGCTGTATTATTTTTTCAACAAATCGGCTGTATCCCATTGAGGCAGGATGACCTAAAAAGAAAAACTTTTGTTTTACTTTTTAAATTTAGTAATGTATACAGGAGAAAGGGTTACTAGCCTCTCGTTCCTGGCATTTTAGCCACCTCTTACAGCATGCCTGGCTTAAGGGGGAAGAATTCCGTTCCATTTCCACAAGGAGATTATTATTACTACCCTAGGGCTCTCGTGCATGAACATACACATCTTTGAAAGAACTGGCTCCTCTAAATATACATGTGTAAATGCATGAGAGCACTTGGATATTGCTAGTGTTATTTCAAGGAACTTCTTGCCTCAGTAATTCCAGTCATGTCTTTCATTTCTAGATTCACAATTCTTGCTATCCTCTATCTCTAGTAGATGGATGACATTAGATAGAAAACCATAAGTCTTCACTTAATATTAGTATATAAGTATGACAACATATATATATTCCTCACACTGTACAAAGTTATTTCATCAGTGCACTCATTGAATTGTAATTTCCTAATGTCTATATAATACTCTAATACCCTGAGGGTAAGTAGAACACTTTTGTACCACTATTGTCTGTAAATGTACTGAGGTACGGCAGGCTTAGACCCTAAGTTTTTTAAAATGACATGTTTGATATTTTAACATTACTTCTGTCTCTTTTGTAACGTGATAAATATGTGCCATTGTCACTTTTATGTACTACATAACCATTTTCTCACAGGACTGGCAGTCTTCAAAGCACGTTGCGGAGTTGATTTACAAGGAATTTTTTACACAAGGCGATTTGGAGAAAGCCATGGGTAATATGCCATTGGAAATGATGGATCGAGAAAAGGCATTTATTCCAGAACTTCAGCTGCAATTCTTAGATGATGTGGCCATTCCTGTCTATGAGTAAGGAAACCGTTTTGTATTATATACAGTACATAATTGTGGTGAATGTACGTATTCAGATATTTGGAAGTGAACGTGTCAGCAGATGGGTCTATGAAAGATGAGATGGATCATGGAATTGACAAGGGGAAAAAGGTGAGTGGTGCACTGAGGCATCTGTGGAGACAAAGAACTTTATCCATGAAAGCAAAGAGCGGAATATATGAGAGTATAGGTATACCAACACTCTTGTATGAGTGAGAGGCATAGGTGGTGAATGTTGCAACAAGGAGAAGGCTGGAGGCAGTGGAGATAGTCATGTCTGAGGGCAACGTGTGGTGTGAATATAATGGAGAATCCGTAGTTTGGAGATTAGGAGGTGAGGGATTACCAAAACTATTATCCACGGGGCTGAGGAGGGGTCATTGAGATGATTTGGACATGTAGAGAGGGTGGAACGAAATAGAATGATTTCAAGAGTGTATAAATCTGTAATGGAGGGAGGGGAGGCAAAGGAGGTTTTGTGTGCGAGGGGCTTGGACTTCCAGCAAGTGTGCGTGAGCGTGTTAGATAAGAGCAAATGGAGACAAATGGTTTTTAGGACTTGACGTGCTGTGAGTGTAAGCAAGGTAACATTTATGAAGGGATTCAGGGGAAACCAGCAAGCCAGACTTGATTCCTGGAGATGGGAAGTACAGTACTGGCACTGCAGTTTTATAACTGTAGTGTAAGCCCATCTCTAGCAAGACAGTGATGGAGTGAATGATGATGTTTTTCTTTTTCGGGCCACCCTGCCTTGGTGGGAAACGGCCGATGTGTTAATAAAATATAGCAGTACATAACTTGAATGTAGATTTTCTATTGATTTCTTAAATGTTTGCAGGTAGGTTAGAAATTTAACCCTTTGACTGTTGCAAGCCCCTTTCTGAAACTGTTTACCTGGAGTTTACCTGGAGAGAGTTTCGGGGGTCAACGCCCCCGCGGCCCGGTCTGTGACCAGGCCTCCTGGTGGATCAGCGCCTGATCAACCAGGCTGTTGCTGCTGGCTGCACGCAAACCAACGTACGAGCCACAGCCCGGCTGATCAGGAACTGCCTTTAGGTGCTTGTCCAGTGCCAGCTTGAAGACTGCCAGGGGTCTGTTGGTAATCCCCCTTATGTGTGCTGGGAGGCAGTTGAACAGTCTCGGTCCCCTGACACTTATTGTATGGTCTCTTAACGTGCTAGTGACACCCCTGCTTTTCATTGGGGGGATGGTGCATCGTCTGCCAAGTCTTTTGCTTTCGTAGTGAGTGATTTTCGTGTGCAAGTTCGGTACTAGTCCCTCTAGGATTTTCCAGGTGTATATAATCATGTATCTCTCCCTCCTGCGTTCCAGGGAATACAGGTTTAGAAACCTCAAGCGCTCCCAGTAATTGAGGTGTTTTATCTCCGTTATGCGCGCCGTGAAAGTTCTCTGTACATTTTCTAGGTCGGCAATTTCACCTGCCTTGAAAGGTGCTGTTAGAGTGCAGCAATATTCCAGCCTAGATAGAACAAGTGACCTGAAGAGTGTCATCATGGGCTTGGCCTCCCTAGTTTTGAAGGTTCTCATTATCCATCCTGTCATTTTTCTAGCAGATGCGATTGATACAATGTTATGGTCCTTGAAGGTGAGATCCTCCGACATAATCACTCCCAGGTCTTTGACGTTGGTGTTTCGCTCTATTTTGTGGCCAGAATTTGTTTTGTACTCTGATGAAGATTTAATTTCCTCATGTTTACCATATCTGAGTAATTGAAATTTCTCATCGTTGAACTTCATATTGTTTTCTGCAGCCCACTGAAAGATTTGGTTGATGTCCGCCTGGAGCCTTGCAGTGTCTGCAATGGAAGACACTGTCATGCAGATTCGGGTGTCATCTGCAAAGGAAGACACGGTGCTGTGGCTGACATCCTTGTCTATGTCGGATATGAGGATGAGGAACAAGATGGGAGCTAGTACTGTGCCTTGTGGAACAGAGCTTTTCACCGTAGCTGCCTCGGACTTTACTCTGTTGACGACTACTCTCTGTGTTCTGTTAGTGAGGAAATTATAGATCCATCGACCAACTTTTCCTGTTATTCCTTTAGCGCGCATTTTGTGCGCTATTACGCCATGGTCACACTTGTCGAAGGCTTTTGCAAAGTCTGTATATAATACATCTGCATTCTTTTTGTCTTCTAGTGCATTTAGGACCTTGTCGTAGTGATCCAGTAGTTGAGACAGACAGGAGCGACCTGTTCTAAACCCATGTTGCCCTGGGTTGTGTAACTGATGGGTTTCTAGATGGGTGGTGATCTTGCTTCTTAGGACCCTTTCAAAGATTTTTATGATATGGGATGTTAGTGCTATTGGTCTGTAGTTCTTTGCTGTTGCTTTACTGCCCCCTTTGTGGAGTGGGGCTATGTCTGTTGTTTTTAGTAACTGAGGGACGACCCCCGTGTCCATGCTCCCTCTCCATAGGATGGAAAAGGCTCGTGATAGGGGCTTCTTGCAGTTCTTGATGAACACAGAGTTCCATGAGTCTGGCCCTGGGGCAGAGTGCATGGGCATGTCATTTATCGCCTGTTCGAAGTCATTTGGCGTCAGGATAACATCGGATAGGCTTGTGTTAATCAAATTTTGTGGCTCTCTCATAAAAAATTCATTTTGATCTTCGACTCTCAGTCTGGTTAGCGGCTTGCTAAAAACTGAGTCATATTGGGACTTGAGTAGCTCACTCATTTCCTTGCTGTCATCTGTGTAGGACCCATCTTGTTTAAGTAGGGGCCCAATACTGGACGTTGTTCTCGATTTTGATTTGGCATAGGAGAAGAAATACTTTGGGTTTCTTTCGATTTCATTTATGGCTTTTAGTTCTTCCCGCGATTCCTGACTCCTAAAGGATTCTTTTAGCTTAAGTTCGATGCTTGCTATTTCTCTGACCAGTGTCTCCCTGCGCATTTCTGATATATTGACCTCTTTTAGCCGCTCTGTTATTCTTTTCCGTCGACTGTTGCAAGCCCCTTTCTGAAACTGTCATTCTATGTCAAAAAAATTTTGGAAAAAAAAAATTATTTTTTCTTATGAAATGATAGAGAATCTTTTCCCGATGATAATGACACCAAAATACAAAATTTGGTCGAAAACTCATGGAATTACACTCCCACAAAGTTAGCGGTCTCGGCGGCATACACACATCGGCGATTTTGCCGACTTTGAGCCAATTCCATTGTTCCAGATGACTAAACTCATACCTATTTCTTTAGAACTTCATTTGTTTTCTATCAATTGAGTACAAGAAACCACCCATTTACTGGTTTGAACTACCCAATAAAGTGGTCAGAAATTGGCAATTTGACCAATTTCACGCAAATTAAAAAAGATGCCAATTTCAAAATAGGGTCCAGAATAAACAATTTAGACATACTTGGCACTAAAATAACATATCCTCTGTTCATTAGTCATGTCTCTAGGCCCCTCTTATATTACTATTGCTTTCTATTTTGATTTTTTATTCATACAAAAAACAGAAGATTTACTGCATTATGGTATAAATAATATCAGTGTACTAGTGAAGGAAAATTATACTTCCCAGTTGACGTGTGGTGTGATTTGCTTACTCTTGAACATTGGTAAAAATCGAACATTTCCACTACTTTGAGCTCAATTTCAAGGTCGTTTTCATCGTGAAACTAATCAAAATCATCTCTATTTCATTAATATGTTTCCCATTGTATTGCATGAGACCATGAAAACGAGAATACAACCATAAATACACCTCAAAGTCAGCATTTTAATCCAAAAAAAAACGGTCGAAGTTTTTTTTTTCTCTCTCATTATGCACTGCGTGCTGCAGGATTTTTTTTTATATGGTGCACACTGACCACACAGACCCATTCTCTCACATGTGGGTCTACCAGCTTTCTCCTGCTTGATTTGAAGCCGCTAGAATTACTGAGTATATATACATCTGAAACAGTCAAAGGGTTTAAGAGTATTTTGACATCATAGATCCTTCAATGCTCTTGGCAATACAAAATAAATACTGTACAACACAAAAAAAAAACTACATGTATAACACAAATAACCAGCATCAGTTAAAGATTTCATTAAATTATTAATGCTAAATGACTCTTGCTAATAGCTTCCAAGATCCCTACAGGCACTCTGGTAATCATAAAAATCATGACAAGCAAAAAGGCCTTAGCCATGAGCAAACGGATAAAATATTTAACACGGTCAGCTGCATATCACAAGCTACACAGGGAAAAGGGTGGGCAGGAGCACCTGCAAAGGGGTGCCTGATCCTCAGACAACAGAGATTCAGCTTGGTGACAATTCATGTTGGAGGAGGGCCAAACTCTTACGTCCTGCAAACCCTATATAACTTCTCGTCTGTAAGGCTCCACCAAATTTGCTACTACCCAAGAACATAGATATGTTGTGGTCTGTGAAGTTACTGTAACAGCTCGTTATAGCAGCCTTTGCCTCAGCATCTGCCCGTTCATGGCCCTGAGCACTAACAGTCCTTGTGCCACATGTGGAAATGGAATGACTACTGGATCTTCTGGACCTCAGGATGCAGAGAAGCATACCAGGCCTGGAAAAAATAAGAGCACAATAAGAATTCCAGTAAACTGAGATCCATCTAAGCCACTTGTTAGGACAAGAGCAGTGAGGATTGCATGGAACTCTGTAGTGAACACTGAGGACTAGTTTGGTGGCACTGTGCAATACAAGTCCTGACCAGCAATGATTACAAAGCCACCGCAACCCTCACTCTTTTACCCATCAGTAAAGATCATTAGCCTTGAAGCACGAAGAAAATCGTGCTATAAGAAATTAGTCCAGGTCATGGCCAATCATTGCACACGTCTTATGAAATGACTGATATAAGTATATATTGAAGGTAAAAACAAATTTGAAAAGCTGGTCATGTGTAGGATAAAAGTGTTTTCATTTTTTATTAACAGATTTTTTCTTTTTCAGAATTGTAGCAAAAATATTTCCAGGTGCGGAGGAGCCCTACACTAGTATCAAGACTAGCAGGAGGAACTGGGCAAGACTACGAGATGTGTACAAACGTAGAAAACCTGAGTCGACAAGTTCACTAGAAGTGTTTGAGGATGATTCACTTGAAGATGAATTAGAAAAGGAAGACTCCTGAAATGTCTTTCCAACATCTGGTCAGTTAATTTTATAGGAAAATAATTCCTTTCATATATGCATTCATGGTATACAGAAAATCTTGAGATATTTGATAACATGAAAAGTTGCCAAATATTTGAACATAAGTTAACAGCACACCGGAACAACTGTCACAGGTGATATGACAGGTGTTTAACTTTAAAAGCACCTTACCTTTCTAGCCATTGTGCTTGGTTCTGAAGACATCAATATGACTCTCCAGTGAATCTATACTTTTAATTTATAATTGTTTGAGTACAGCACGTTAAACAGTGGTATACATGGATCAATCAAATTTAGCAAGAAAACTGTTACTACAGCACTGATATTTGTATCCATACGAGCATATTATATACTGTGGTAATGAGTTGATTATGCAATTTGTGAATTCAGTTACATGAACATTACAATGAAGTATATTCTACTTGTTAGAGGCATACTGATTCAAGGGATTGTGCTTGGTTGGTTAAACAAGTTACAGGGTTAAGTTACTTACAGTAGGCAAAGTTAGGGTATTTGGCTAGAATTTTTAGTAATCCTATACATATCATGGATGAAATGTACTAGCCAATTGGAAAGTGACAATTTTTCTGGAAAACGTTTCATATTATGCCATTGCTGTAATACACTCAGCTTCGGTACATTGTGTGGTACCCACCCTGACTTCAGACCTTGGGTATCCTCTTATAATATCTTTGAAGGTAGATACTTTACATTTGCAATATAGTTGGTAGAACTACTCCAAGAGGATTTGTGATTAGTCCTCTGAAAAGTCATTTATTATAACAGCATGAGTGGAACTACTAGAAAGACAACTTGTTCTAAAAGTAGCAAACGAAATACTGTCCATATATGAGCTGTATGTGGGTCGCCTTCGGTGAGAAAGGGATACAAATATGCAGCTGGAAATTGTACAAAGCTGTACAATAAGCTCAATTACTAGTGCACTTTAACCAGTACTTAAATATATAACCCACCATCAGTGATCTTGATACTTAATCATTGTGTCTTAATGAGTGCTACCATCACAGTCTGAAGTCAGTTGTACTCTTTTTGTTACATAGACAATCTACTGTTGTCAGAAAAATTTAGATTGTCAAGGTGACTTCCTTTATCCCTTTCCAAGTATCTTTCCCAAGCTTTGGGCATTAGGGCGAGAGTTGTCGTACTACCCCTTTACTTACCAACATTAACAAAATTATTTAAAATTTGCTTAATTTCACTGCAATAGTGCCTGTAATGTAAGTTCTGTGCATTCTTTACAAATGATGTGTGTGTACTCTTGGCAGTAATAATTTGTTCAATTAATGGTGCCTTTATAATAAATTGCCTTCACATGCTTTCAGAATTGAAAAGTTACTAAAAAATGAAAGCTAAATTTCTAATATTGCTATAAGGGATAATGCAGAATTTAACACTACAGCTGTCATTTACAAATACAATAAAAACTGTTCAGATTTTGATTACGAATTACATTCTGGTATAGGGTGTTGTATAAATCAGCAAGTCATTTATAGGTCTCTGCACAGCAATGAATTTCCAGAGAATTGATTCGGTAAAAGTTTGAAATTTGTTGCCCACAAATTATATGAACTTTGCTGCAATAAATGTCTTTACATGTGTACATTTTCTCCATGCAGAAATATACACATGAATGTATGCACAACAGGGAGAACAGTAGATAATTGTAGACATGAGAAAAAGGTGCCAAAAATACAATAAAAAATATTTCTAAAACTTGGTAGATTGCTGGAATAGAATTGAAAACCTTGTAGGTACCATAACTATAAACTGTGTGAAACTAAGTACTGACGGAATATCGTAAGTGTAGATTAAGGCTTTAGAGGTGGGAAGTGGGGATGGGGCAGACATTGGAACTATTTTATTCCCTTAAATACAGCTTAAATAAATACACATACATGCAAACATTTGGAAATCATAAAAAGCTCTAGAAGGTCCAGACATTTGCTGTAAAACATGTCTGGTTATTATATTGATGGGGAAAAGTCTATACCCATAAGGGTGATGCAGTGTGTTGGAGTGGGAGCTAGTCTAGTTTAACCCAAGGAAGGGCAAAGTAGCTCCAAGTTCTTGGGTTATGAGTCCTTCAGTATCAAATGAGAGGCTTGGAGAGTTATACCTCAACACTGGAGACAAGTAGGAGTACAAGGATCAAGACAGATACAACATACACAAAGACATGGGACCAAGACCAAAATAAGCTGAATATATGGTACATGAAAGAGCATTAGGATGGCGAACAAATACTACACCCTAGGATATGTGGCGTTAACCTCCATACACAAGTTCAAAAGTAGATATAAGAAAGTAAAGGGACTTTGGGAGGCCTCACACCTGTCAATTATTGGTCAAGATGCAGAGTCCCTGAGCAGAAGGTTGACCTTCTAAAACGGTTACCATAATTACACAGTTTTAAAAGTACTGTAAATGAATGGAGATATTGCAAAGAAATTGTTAAGAACAGTGTTGGATGTGTGTTAATCTAGAAAGTAAATGGCTAGGGAAAAACCTGTGTATTTTGTTAGTAAGAAACTTTCTCCCTAGCAAGAAATATCGAAATTTTTTAACAGTAAACACTTCATTATCCCTTACAACTATAACAGAATACTGTACCCAGCTGTCTTGTGATGACATTGGAAGAAACTCAAACAAAACAGAATAATCTCAGAAGACATGCCACAGTCAGTTCCATAAGAAACGAGTCAAATTCGCCTTCGTTGGAAGACGAGCTGTTTTGACTACAGTACTCGATAAATTTGACATGTGCATCTCTTGGGTATCTTTATTGAGGAAATATTTTGCCACTGGAAAATGGTGAAGATCATGAGTTTGAGGTAATCAGTCCCTCAAACTCCTGATCTTCACCATTCTCCTTTGTATTGGACTGATGAAGCTACTGTGTGGCAAAATGTTTCCACAATAAAGATACCCAAGTGTTGCACGTGTCTAATTTGTCAACTTGTCGGTTCTCTGAACCATTTAACTACCAACTACAGTATGTACTTGTATATATAAAGACAAGCTTATTATCAGTGAAATAACAGTGCTTGTATGTTTAGTGCAAAATAAGAGGTGTTGTAACTACAGTACATACCTATATGTTGACTACAAGATATAACTACAAGGCACTGTATGACCCCTATGGCTTTAGCACTTTCCCTTGAATACAATAATAAATGATCACAGTAATAATGATATTAATTACCAGAATATATAAGTTCATGAGAGGGTACCAGAAAACAGGCAAAAATTTATTTGAGAGGAGGACAAGAACACAAAATTAAATTACATAGCAAAGTTAAAAAAATGTGAGACAAATCCTTTAGAGTACAGAGGTTCAAAACTAACTCTATTGTAGAGGTTGACAAATGGTATGAGCTCTAGAAGGAAACAGTGTAATAAATGTTGATAAGTTTTTAACCCTTTGAGGGTCGACAGGCCCTCTCAGAGACTCGTTCTCAGGGTCGGCCATATTTAAAAAAAAAAAAATTATTTTTTCTTATGAAAAGATAGAGAATCTTTTCCCGATCATAATGACACCAAAAGTATGAAATTTGATGGATTATTATTATTATTATAATAAAAAAGAATCGCTAAGCCACAAGGGCTATACAGCGCTGCAGGGTAGGGAAGGAAGCGACGGTATTGGGCGGCAGAAGGGGGGGAGGGATGATCAGTAGGTTACAGAAAACAGCGGGGCAGGGGATAGTGCGGGGGTAGAGGGTAGCAAGAGATTGAGGTAGAAAGGGCTGAAGGTATCAGAGTTTGTGAAGTAAGTCAGTTGTTGTCAAAAAGTCAATGAGAGAGTCCGGATGAAAGGTGGGTCCATCAGCGAGAAGGGAAGGTAAAGAGAGAGCAGAGGAGCGAAGACGACGGCAGAGGTAAATTCTGCGTGCTCGTTGATAAAGTGGGCGGTCTAACAGAATGTGGCTGACTGATAATGGAACCTGACAATTCTCATAGAGAGGAGCAGGGCGCCTCTCCATGAGATATCCATGAGTAAGACGAGTATGGCCAATGCGAAGATGGGAGAGAGTAGTCTCCCAACCTCGACACTGGTGACAAGAAGACGGCCAGTAACCTATACTCAGTTTAATAGAGTGAAGTTTGTTACCGAGCATAGTAGACCAACGTTGTTGCCAACGGATGTGAAGGTGGGTAGCTATTGCAGCAAAATAGTCCATAAATGGAATACTTCTATATGAAACTGGTAGGTCATGTACTGCTGGAAATTTGATGGAAAACTTACGGAATTATGCTCTCGCGAAGTTAGCGGTCTCGGCGATGTTTACACATCGGCGATTTTGCCCACTTTGAACCCCATTTTCGGCCAATTCCACTGTACTAGTCGACAAAAAACATGAATATTTCGCTAGAACTCCATTTTTTTTTCTATCGAATGAGTGCAAGAAACCACCTATTTACCGATTTCAACTATCCAGTACAGTGGTCAGAATTTAGCAATTTTGCCAATTTCACACAAAATTCAAAAGATGCCAATTTCCGAATAGGGTCCAGAATAAACAAGAAAGACATTCCTGGCACTAAAATGACATTTCCTCTGTTCATTAGTCACGTCTCAAGGCCCCACTTACATTCTTTTGCCTTCCACTTTGAATTTTTATTCTCGCAAAAAATAGAAGATTTACCGTCATGCAGACTACTGCATTAGTGTAAAAAATGGTATAAATAATATTGGCGCACTTGCGAAAGAATATTAGACTCGCCAGTTGACGTGTTTTGGACGCTTGGGAAGATTTGTTTACTTTTGAACTTTGGTAAAAATCGAACATTTCTGCTACTTCGAGCTCAATTTCAAGGTACTTTTCACTGTAAAACCAGTCAAAATCATCTCAATTTCTGTAATATGTCTTCCTTTCTATAAAATGAGACCAAGAAAACTAGAATACAACAATAAATACCATACGAATATACAGTGCAAAAAAACGGTCAGGTTTTTTTTCTCATTATGCACTGTGTGCTGCAGGATTTTTTTTTTTTATACTGTGCACACTGACCACATAGACCCATTCTTTCATATGTAGGCCTACCAGCTTTCTCCCACTAGATTTGAGGGTGCTAGAATTTAGGCATACTAGTACGTCAAAAACCCTGGGTCGTAACCCGTACTAGTATGGCCGAAACCCGCAAAGGGTTAATAGGTATGATAGATTTAAAAAACAAACTACACCATAGGTGTAGTGCTATTACATTCATAAATGGGCAATTTTACTTTGTAGCTATATCGAATACAGTTTATAGGGGAAATCTATCAAATTTAAGCTCAAAAGTTATACATATTGGCATATATTTCTTTTGTATTATAAATCCATGTTTAGTACAAATACAGTACTGTAGAGTTATTGCCATGTAAATTATTTAATATATAATTTAATTAAAAAAAAATTATTACATGGGATATTGGCTGTTTGGAGTGACATCTAAACTGTTGTATCTGGGTGCCTCTGCAAAGACAGTGATTGTGTATGAATGATGGTGAAAGTGCAGGCATTGTACTTCCCACCTCCAGGACTCAAGTCCAGCTCACCGATTTCCCTCAAAAAATATTACCCTGTTCTCACTTCGTCAGGTCCTGAAACCCTTTATCTCCATTCACTCCTATCTAACATGCTCACACGTGCCTGCTGTATATCCAAGCGCCTCGCGCACGCACACATGCATACATATACATACACACATACATAAGGAGGTTCCTTCAGTTACAGTATTAATCCATTCCAGAAGATGTATCTTAAAACTATTGTAACTGAAACTCCAAAATACATGGTTTTACTGTAATTTGTTTCAAGACCCCAAAAGGGGCAACTTTTAGTGTACTACTGTGTCTGTGGTTTGACCCCCAGGAAGGATAGAAGCATTGGGCTGTTTCCTTAAGACACCTACTGTCCCTCTTCACCTAGTAGTGAGTAGGTACCTGGGTGTTTGTTGACTGGTGTGGATCGCGTCCTGGGGACAAAATTATTCTAATTGCCACATACTATGACATAATTGACACAATTTACCCAAAATGCTCTGCATAACAAGGGGTTTTCTATATAGTAATATGTCATTGATATCAGCTATGGTCTTTACCTTGGACAGGTACTTGTAGAAATAAATATTATTATTACAGAAAGCTTCATCAATTGCTTTCTTTGTGTTGTACACTCAAAACTTGTTTTGTTGAAAGTTTATAATAAAAATGAAAATTTCTATATCCCATGTCATCTGTGGAAAACATTGATGACATTCTTAGCCTAGAATTGTTAACATTGATGTGTAAAAGGCACTGTTGAGCTTGTTTTGTAGTCTGAGACAAGATATTTACTCCAGGTCAGACATATAACTGCTATTACAGACATAAAGGAATATTTTTTTTTCTTAATGCTGGAACTTTATACTATAATGTGAAACATTAACCATACCTCATTTACAAACTTCTATGGATGTTTACCTCTTCAAGGGGGGCTCCTTGGCGTGGTGAAGAGGCTCTTGGTCTGAGGAATTAGACCTGTCGGTCTTCTTCCTCAGACCGAACCTAATTACTCCCCAATCTCCCCTCCCCTATCCCATCCTCCCCTTTTTCCATTCCTCCTCCTCCTCCCCACCCCTCCCTTTTGCCCTTCCTCTTTTTGGCCTTTGGGATTGCTCCCACAGGCGCGCTAGTTCCTAGGTAGAGGAAAGGGTACCGGGGTCCATCCCATTCCGTTGAGGTTCTTGGCGGGGGGGTAGTTTCCGTGGAATTGGTCGCCGGGGGATGCCGGTCCCTCTCCTTTTCCCCCGGAGTAGCTTTTGGGTTCTTTGGGCGAGGGTGTATCTTGGAAGCCACCTTTCGGATTCCGGGGGTGGGGGCCGAAGGAGGTTGCTTTGTGGCGGATACCAGCTGCCCTCTTTTTGTCCACCGAGGTAGCTCGGCAGTGTGAGGTTTCTATCCCCGGGTTGTTTTTTACTAGCATGATGGGTAGGGTTTGGACGGGTTCCATGCTGCATCTGCGTACTTGCGTGCTGAGGTTTCTTGGGCGCGGAGGGGGATTTCTGGCCTTTTATTCCTCCAAAGGGGCTATCCCTCCCCCCCCCCCTTTTTTTATTCTTTTTTTCTTTTTCTTTTCTTTTCTTTTTTTTTTTTTTTAAAAAAAAAAAGAAGTAACCTAACCATGGCAGCCCCAGTCCTGAACCCCTACCCGGGCCCCTTTTTGTACCCCCACCCCTTCTGACCCCCCTCGTCTTTTTACCCCTCTTCAACATCCTCATGCCTCTGTCCTCTTGCCGGTGCTGTTTCCTCCCCGCTTAGTACTGAGGCCTCGACTGACCCTTTGATTTATGGGCCTTCGCTCTCCCCTTGCTATGCTCCGGGCCCCCCCTCTACGGGGCGGCAATTTTCAAATCGCCGCCCGTTCCAGTCGGACCAATTGGGCCCACGCCTAAACGCCAAACAATTTCTGTGATATTCTCCCCCCCGTTCTTTTCAGAAACGATCGACACTCCCTTTACTACCTTTCCTGCTCAGTTTCAGACTGAAAAAATGGACTAATTCTTCACTTTAAAACCACTTCCTCTACGCCTATCTTTTGACCACGATTTGGCAAGGCCCCCTAGCCATGTTGGAAAGATTTTCTTTTTTTGCCTTAAAAGCGGGAGGCATATTCATCAGAATGCTACCAAGGCCCCTGAGCTCTCTTCTTTCCCCTATCGAACTGTTCCGTCCCCCTTTTGAAAAACATCATTCCCTAATTCTTGAGTGGTACGCATTTGCCCCCCAAAAAGTTAAACAAATTTGGGACTTTGTGGCATGCTTTCTTGAACAGCTGGAACCCAAGATCCCCCACCCTCAAGGTAGCATTCGTTTTCCTGCCCGCGGGCAGAGACGATACCCTAGAAATGTGGCTTTTTAATTTTTGACACCCGAGAACTCCCACCCTCGTTTTTTTTTAGGCAGGACATCGTTACAAGTTCGAAAGGTGATCCCTACACCCAAAACAGTGTAGAAATTGCTGGCGATTTGGCCATCCAGCGAAATATTGCAGATCTATCGCCAAATGCCCAGTCTGTGGTGCCGATGACCATTCAATATGTCTTGCAATCGATCTCCCTCTTGCCTTAACTGTCATGAGGCTCACCCTTCGTACTCCGCCGTTGTCAAGTCTATTTAAACGAGCGGGAAATCCGTTACCTCAAAGAGACAGAAGGTCTCCCTTATGCCATGGCAGTTTCTCTCTCCGCCTCCAAGGGAGACTCCCACGTGTTTCTTATTCCTGTGTTTCAAAATGTCCCCCCCACTTCGGGTTTATCCATCTTCTACACCCCACCTCTGTGGTTACCTCTCCCATAGTCACTCCTGTATTAATCCTTTTGCTGTCCTCGGTCAGCGTCCCTACTTCAACCTCAGTCTGATTTCGCTTCTTCGTGTTCTCTCTCACAAGCCTCGTATCGACAAAGACCTCGTACGACACCTCCTCCCAATCGTCCCCCTACTTCTCAAAAGTCAAAAAAAGGTCCGTTAAAACACCTCCTACCCATCCTTCCACCTCCTCATTTTACCCTCCCTGTCTCTGTCCCTGGTTCTCCCCTTTCACTGGTTTCAGTTACAAGTGTAAGGGTTCGCCCTCCTCCTCGTACTGTACCTTCCTCCCCTGTTCCCTCCCAAGTTTCTTCCTCTTCTGCCACCCCAGGTTCCTGCCTCTTCTGTCCCTGCCACGCTTCTCCAGTTCCTCACCCTTTCGCCCCCCCTACCTGGTACAGTCCAATACAGTTCCAATCTTTACTCATCCTCCCCCTACCATTTCCAATATTGCTCTCCCATACGACGTCTCTGAATTCAGAAACACTTGAAGCAATCTCTGAATATATTGCAGAGACCCAAACCATCAATGGACACTGATCCACCTTCCGCTCTTTCTTCTCCTCTGCTCCATCTGCGAAAACTCCTTTTTTCACAGCGCACCGTTCCTTCGCTGCTTGAACTTTTTCCCACTGCCTCCGCATGTGGACTTTTCTAATCCCTCTAGTCCGTAGGAACCCTTACCTGCGGATTTCAAGTATCTTTATCATTGCCAATCAGCCTATTTACAGGGGGAATATACGGGGCCTCAGGGGTAATCGGGGTGAATTTCCCAGATGTTACTCCCCCAGTTTGCCCTTTTGGGGTTTGCTTACAGGAACCAAAATTACACTCTGCTGTTATTTCTCCCATCTCAGGCTATAATTTATTGTATTCTTCGATCCTTTTCCTGATGGGACCTTTAATGAAAGTGCCCTTCTTCTATGCACTGATATTCCGTACCATCAGCTATTTGTTCATACTTCGCTGCTTTTCCCACGCACCCCGTATCCACTTACATAGGTGGTATACGCTCTGTTCTTTATACTCTCTCTCATTTTCTCGGGCTTTTCTATTCCGGATAATTGCCTTCCTTGTTTCGTTCATTACCGCCACCGATTCTGTTACTTGGTGATTTTAATGCCCACCATTTTTCCCCTGGGGGGGGGGGTCTCACTGTATTCCCGTGGAATTTTAGTTAGAGGCTTTTCTTGCCACCCACCCCCTCCATGTTTTTTAAAAACAGGTACTCACACCCATTTTGATCCTTGGACTCATACTCTCTCTTGCATCGATCTCTCAGTCTGCTCTTCCTCCGCTGCATTAGACTTCACTTGGTCTGTTCTTCCGGACTTACATGGACAGTGATCATTTCCCAATCATTCTTTCTTCCCTTCATATTCGCCACCTCTTCGCACCCCACGCTGGCAATTTAATCGGGCAAATTGGAAACTTTACTCCAACCTAACTGTTTTTTAAAGAGGTTCCTTCTTCGTCCTCCATCGATGAGCTTTTACACCTCTTCTCGTCCCCCGTTTCAAAACCCCAGCTTCTCATTCTATACCCCAAACTTCAGGCGGCATTCTCAGAAATGCGTGCCTTATGGTCTCCTGCTTGTGCTCGTGCAGTACGTTTGAAACGCGCTGCATGGGGCAGGTACGGTACAAATAGAACCACAGAGAGACTCCTTGATTTTAAACGAAGCGTGCGATCGCTCGCCGTGTCATCCATGATTTCTAAACGCACTTGCTGGCGAGATTATGTCTCCACCATCACCTCTGCTTCCTCTTGAGTGCAGTCTGGAAAAAAGTACGAAAACTGAGTGGTAAATATTCTCCTGGACCCAGCTCCTGTTCTGCGGGTTGCCGGTGTTGATATAGCAAACCCACTAGATGTTGCCAATGAAATTGGCAATCATCTGGTCCGTATTTCTCAGGGACTCCATCTATGCCCCTCATTTCTTTCCTCAAAGTCTGCCAGAGAGTTAGCACCCTTGGACTTTTCTTCTCTCAGAGAAGAACAGTATAATGTGCCTTTTACACTTCAAGAACTGGAGGCAACACTCTCAGCTTGTCGATCATCGGCAGCTGGGCCCGACGACATTCATATTCGTATGCTACAGCATTTACATCAGTCAGCCCTTGCAGTCCTATTACGCCTTTACAATCTTATTTGGTCACAAGGAGTTCTTCCACAGCTGTGGAAATCCGCTATTGTTCTCCCTTTCCGCAAACCAGGCACTACGGGACATGAAACCTCCCACTATCGTCCCATTGCTCTTACCAGTGCAGTTTGCAAAGTAATGGAATGCCTAGTAAATAGACGTTTAGTGTGGTATTTAGAGACACACAACAGTCTCTCCACTCGTCAATATGGCTTTCGTAAGGGACGTTCTACCATAGACCCCTTACTACGCTTGGATACGTATGTTCGTAATGCCTTTGCGAATAACCACTCAGTTATTGCCATATTTTTTGACCTTGAGAAGGCATATGACACAACTTGGAGGTATAATATTTTAGCCCAAGCCCACTCCTTAGGCCTTCAAGGCAATCTACCATCCTTCCTTAAGAACTTTTTAACTGACAGGCATTTCCGTGTTCGGGTTAATAATGTGCTCTCCCCGGACTTTATCCAAGCTGAAGGTGTCCCCCAGGGATGTGTTCTGAGCACAACACTTTTTCTCCTTGCTATTAATGATTTGGCCTCTAGTCTTCCATCAAATATTTGGTCATCACTCTATGTTGATGACTTCGCTATTGCCTGTGCAGGCACTGACTGTCACCTCATTACAGTTTCTCTCCAACATGCAGTCGACCGTGTTTCCAATTGGGCCACCACACGTGGGTTTAAATTTTCCAGCACTAAAACCCACCAAATTACTTTCACTAGACGCTCTGTCATCTCCGATCATCCTTTGTACCTCTATGGCTCCCGTATCCCTGAACGTGATACAGTCAAGTTTCTGGGCCTCCTCTTTGATCGTAGGTTATCCTGGAAACCTCACATTACCTCTCTGAAGGCAACTTGTCACAGCCGGCTGAACCTTCTTAAAACCCTTGCTCATCTTTCATGGGGCGCTGATCGTCGAACCCTCCTTCGCCTACATTCCACCCTTATTTTATCGAAACTTGATTATGGTGACCAGATCTATTCAGCGGCATCTCCTGCTACTCTCTCTAGCCTTAACCCCATTCATCACCAAGGATTACGTTTATGCCTTGGTGCTTTTCGCTCTTCCCCTGTCGAGAGCCTCTATGCAGAAGCGAACGTTCCATCCTTATCCGATCGCCGTGATGCCCATTGCCTGCGCTACTATGTACGCTCTCATGATCTCCGCAATCCTTCCATTTATAGAATGGTCACGGATATTAGTAGACATTCTTTATTTGTTCGCCGCCCCTGTTTACTC